CTCAGCCTCCCGAGTAGCTGGGATTACAGGCGCCCGCCACCACGCCCAGCTAATTTTTGTAATTTTAGTAGAGACAGGGTTTCTCCATGTTGCCCAGGCTGATCTCAAACTCCTGACCTCGTGATCCACCTGCCTCAACCTCCCAAAGTGCTGGGATTACAGGACTGAGCCACCTTGCACGGCCCCTTCTCCCTGCTCTTGATGCTGTCGGTTATAGATATCACAGGTTCTTTTAGGAGCAGACTCCTCTTGACGCCCCTCACAGCGGGTACTGTGTACTATCACCAAATTTCCCTCAGGGTCCCTAGAGCAGAGCTTGGCCTATTGAGCCTCAACAGAAGCTTGAACTGAATAAAAATCCACTAGTCCCAGACATTTAGAACAACAGACTAGATGTTATTTTTCTGCCAGATCTTATATGGTACAGAGAGGATTCTTGAAAACATGATTTAGCCTCTTGGAGAAAACAGGTCATTCTGTGCCTGTGTCTGAAACCATCACTGAGATTTTAACTCTATGCCCACCCCCACCTGACTGCAAACATGGATGTTTTGAAATACTTTGGTACCTCTCTCTTCCAACTTTAACAAAATGTGAAAATACCCATTTCTATTTTCCTAGAACTACAGGAAGGATTAAATTACTTCTGATGGAGAGAGAATTCCGTTTCTCAGAGAGAAGACAGGACATCATTCATCACTTTTGTGATGGTGAGCCTATGGAACTTACTGTAAGTGTTCTGCCCCTTGGAGAGAAAGTAGGCCACTTGAGTTACAAGAAATTTCTCCTTGGTGTTTAGGAACTGATGTTTGTTCTCTGTCCGCTGGGGGCGCAATTTCTCGTTGATTTCGAGAGTGTTCATCTCTGACTTCTCACTGGACCAAGGGCCCGCAGATACCACCATGCTGATGTTTGTGGTAGAAGAGGTGGAGCCAGGGACTGGGGAGAAAAAAACCCAAACACATGATGGGTTAATAACTGCTGAAATCAAATAGGTTGAATCAGGACTGAGGGATGTCACTGACAGCCTTGTCCACTGATTTGAAGATGCTGTTTCCCTGGTTTCACTCTTCTCATCTCCACTCTTGATCTCCTTTAAGTCAACGTGTCTGAGCTACGCAGTCACCTTGAAACCAGGACACAAACACTTCCAACCTTTTCTTCCTTAGAAGTTTCTATAAAGGAAGGCTGGGCTCTGAGCTTTTTACCCCATGAGGGCCCAATGTTTCTGTGTACCTCAAGAGACTGTTTTTTGTTTCATTAAATTTTTTGTTTGATTGGTTGTTTGGTTTTGGTTTTTTATGTTTTGTTTGAGAGGGAGTCTCACTGTGTCGCCCAGGCTGGAGTGCAGTGACACGATCTCAGCTCACTGCAACCTCTGACTCCTGGGTTCAAGTGATTCTCGTGCCTCAGCCTCCCAAGTAGCTGGGAGTACAGGCACCAAACAGCATGCCAGCTATTTTTTGTATTTTTAGTAGAGATGCAATTTTGCCATGTTGGCCAGGCTGCTTTCGAACTCCTGACCTCAGGTGATCCGCCCACCTCGCTCTCCCAAGGTGCTGGGATTACAGATGTGAGCCAGCGACCCTGGCTAGAGACTTCTTATGAACAGCTAAGACAAGCCAATGAAAATGAGAGAGAGTCTAGCCTGCGAAAAGTGAATGAGAGTGGGAGGATAATCTGAGCCAATCCTCGCACCTAAGCCTCCTGAGCAGTTGGGAGTATAGGGGCAAAGGAACATGTCTGGCTAATGTTTCGTATTCTTTGAAAAGATGGGTTTCACCATATTCTCCAGTCTGCTCTTGAACTTCAGAACTCAAATGATCCTCCCACTTGGGCCTCCCAAAGTGCTGCGAATACATGTGTCAGTCACTCCACCTAGCTCCATCCTAGTTTCTGAGTAAACCAATATGTACCTATACAGCCTGTACTCAGAATGGATCTTCCATAGCCTAGACAAGGTATGAGACACATGGAAAATACAGGCTACCTGGGAGAAGGTTTAGAGCATCCTGCCATCCATCAGGAGACGATTCACGGTCTATAAGCAGAGTCAAGTCCACTTGGTCTTCCTCAAATGTGATTTTGGAGTTCTTGTGAGGCTGGTTGGACTCAGAAGGGCCATAGCCATTTGAACAAGTGACAGCACATTCCTCCACTGAGTCCTCAGGGACTTCCTTTTCTTCAGCCTTCCGCACCTCCCTGATGAGGTGAGATAGAGATGTCAGAAGATTAAACACAGAGGGATTGGACCCCAGGGAGTCCTAGCGGGTTTTGACAGAAGGCATTAGGAGAGTGGTCACAGAAAGCAAACAGGAGGCTCCCTTTAAGAGGGAACAGGCAATCCTCTTCTCTCTGCAACACAGCATGGCTGCCATGGGAGACAGAGAGGAAGAGAGCAAGTGGTGTTCATTGCACTGGACAGATAGGATCGAGAAAGAAGAAAACTCAGCTATCCCTGTACAGTATAGACATGACACTCGCCACACACAGAGACACACCACAGCTGCCACCCCCGGTGTCTAAGTTGGGTTGAATTTCACATACTGTGGCCAAGGGAATGCAGGCTTTTGGCCCATCATAGATGCCAGAGAGGGTGTGCCTCTTAGACCTTTTTCATATGTCAAAACCCATTACTTGCTCCTGATTATTCACGGTTACCTGGGGGCATATGATTCCTGTACTTTCTCAGCCTCCTCAACTTCAACATCTTCATCGTCACCTTCATCACTTTCTGTAAATACAGAAGTGTTCATTCAGCTATTTCCCACTTCACACTCTGCAAGCACAGTCAGCCCAATGTGCACAGAGAGATGGACATCTAGGCATGGGTCACCTTTCAGCTGAAAGCTCTCATGCTTTATCATTAACAAAATGCCCTGCCATCGTTTCCTGATCCATCAGGCAATGCATTTCTGATCTGGAGGGCCACCATTAAGATGTAGCCAAACATTGAAAAGACCCTTTGCTCCCCATATCACTGGGGGACTCGTGCAGCCTCTCTCTGGAATTTGGCAGCTGTCTCCATCATCCCACCACAAATCTGATTCCCAGGCACGGGCTTGGTGTCCTGTCACCATTCGCATTTCGAACCTAATTCTTTCCCTTAGGAGAGGACAAACTGGCCCCACAGTCGTCTATGCATCAGGGGACTTCACAGGCCCTCCATGTAGCTTCTGCTGTGTTATTCAGAGACATGCACTCCATGGGGAGTGCTCCAGTCTGAAGCACTTCCTACCACCAAATGCCCCCACATCAAGTGCCTTCTCTAACACCACATGGCGAGGGGGCTTTATCTCATTTTTAAAAGCAGTCGTAAGTGTTCCCACATTTGGATGCTTCAGAACCTTGCAAGAGACAATGTGCCTGCCTTTGCAGATGGAGAGAGAGAATCTCACGAGGGAAAAATCATTCGCTCAGTGACACTTACTAAGAACATTGTCAAAGAGACAGCCTGGGAACCTTCATTCTTAGTCCAGAGCTCTTTTCACTCTAACAAGCACCCTCCTGTCACAGCCTCCTTCCTCTCCTTTACAACTAGAGAGATGTTGCCTCTGGCTCCAAAGACCATCTTCCATCAAGGAAAGAGGGACATTCGCAATACTGTGACCTCCAACCCCATGGGTTGCAGGGTAACCCACCTCAGTACTCACCCAGGAAGTCCTGGTCATGTCATCGCCACATATGGTTAGTGGAAAAAAACACCAATGATACAACTGTCATTGTGAAAGGATGGAGGTCTAGAATCTCTCATAAGCCTGGGGTTTTGGGTCATCAGGTCCTATGGAAACCTTACCTGGGGTGAGCTTTCGGACGAGGTGCTGTACCAGCCTACAGCCCTCGGCCAACTGTTCTCGGAGGTCCCGCCCCTGAGAGTTGGGCTGCTCATCCGGAGTGAGCAGGGCCTGGAGATGGTGATTCAATGCGCGGGCGGCATCTCTCCCTTCCTGGAACTTCTCCTTTAACTGGCTCAGCTCTCGTTCCTGAGACTGAACCAGGACTTTATATTGCCTAAGGTGACATAGTAGAGAAAATTTCACAGTGGAAAAGGTTGAGTGATCAGTTCGAATATTGCTACAGAGATTTCTGAGACAATATCCTCCAGGAGACCTCCAAGGAGAAGGTCAGCACATGTTTAAAGAAATGTCTGTGGTCAACAGAAAGAAGAAAATACGGTTTACAGGCTTCCTCTATATCAGAGAGGACTCCTGTAAGATCCTCGACGATATTCCATTCATCTTTCCCTTCTCTAAACAAAAGTAGGTGTCTTCTTATTCACTTTCAAAAAGACATCCATCTTTTCAGTTCCTCACTCTGGTCATGGACATTTCCATGTGAAAATACACATAGTACATCTCGCAGTCACTAGATGCAAAGCCATGGACAGAAATGAGGCCAGGTGCAGACGGGACCAATTGAAAAGATGAAAGAAGAAACGAATGACAGGCTCCAGAAGGCAACA